ACCGTATATGGACTTCCTAAGCCTACACACCAAATCCTCACCACCTCTAGAAGAGAAACCTTCAGGTTGTTTCATATAAACTTCTTCTTCTAGATCACCATTTAGAAACGCGGTTTTCACATCCATTTGTTGCAACTCAAGATTAAAGTGTGCAACCAAAGCCAGAATGATTCGAAGAGAATCTTTCTTTGATACAGGAGAAAAGGTCTCCTTGTAATCAATTTCTTCTTTTTGAGTGAATCCCTTAGCAACGAGTCTGGCCTTGTACCTCTCAATGTTACCTAATGAGTCTCTTTTGGTTTTAAATACCCATTTACAGCCAATCGGCTTGGCCCCATTAGGTAACTCAACAAGGTTCCAAACTCCATTACTCTTCATGGAATTCATTTCATCTTTCATGGCTTCTAACCACAAATCGGACTGTGCACAATTCGTAGCTTGTGAAAACGTTATGGGATCATTTTCAGCTCCAATGTCAGATTCTTGTAGATACGATACATAATAGCTAGGAACTGCTGAACGCTTTACCCGAGTAGACCGTCTTAATGTTGGAACACCAGTACCTTGTGAAGGTTGTGGCGCAACTACCTCTTCAGGAACTGGATGTAGTTCTTGGATTGGTTCAATTTCGGTCTGTGCGGGTTCAGGATCTTGCTGAAAATCCTGAATTGGTTCAACCATTGGCTCAAAGTCTAGCTCAGGAGGTTGCTGTAAGTCCTGAACTTGTTCTTCCAATGATTGAGTTTCAACAGCTTGTGGAATCTCAACAATGGGTTGCACAACCGCAGGCGGGACTGAAGGCGCATTGCGTATAAGTACAACTCCATTAGATGACGTTGAAGGGCAAGAGTCAACATGATCAAATAAAGGAACTAAGTCCTATCATTTTCTATTGCGAAACAAATCTTACTTGAAAGCATTTTTTTTTTTTTAAGTTGAGATCTAAAAGTGGATTAAATCAAAGTTAAAAATGTTACTATACTAAAATAAACTCTAGCAATGTAGACTTTTTTTTTTTTCTAATACTATTGACTCCATTGCAATATAGTATTTGTTCTATACTATCTCAACTATTACAGCCCAAAGAATCAACACCCCACTACCGAGGTTCGATCCTATGACCTTTCCTCAAAAGAAGTCACAGAGGTACCATCTGAGGACAATGTGTTTGGCGTAGACCCATTTATTTTCTCTTCAATTCTTCAATATGGAGTATAAGATATACTTCAATAGAGATCATATAAGAACCGCCCTTTTCATGGACATGCTTCATATGTACACGCAAATGTATGTTGAATTCTCCCAACTAATTTCATTTTTAGATTTTTTTTTTAATGCACCATATTGATTCTCATGTACTCAATGGTAATTCTCAAGAATCATCCTCTCTCTCTATATATATAGCTAATATGATCCATGCATCCATCTAAGTAAATCAGTGATTGAAAGTTATTAAAAATACGGGGAAAATGGTAAGTTGTTTTTATAAATATTACAAATTTGAAATATTTTAGATAGTGTGAAATCGTTGAATATATAATTTGAACTAAATGAGTTATACAGTTCGCAATATTTGATTAGATCTTAAAGGCAATTTAAGGAAGATAGAGTGGCAGCAATAGCATGTTGGGTAGATAGGCATTAGTGGCTATTAACATTTTTGTTCCGTTAGAAAGTTCTATCTTTAGCCACTAGGCACAAAATAAATGTCTTCTATTTAATTGTTGTACAATCTTACCCTAAGTCAAACACTCATGCCACATGGCTATTTTTTATTGGCTGGTCAAACTCTACAAAGTTGCACATTTTCAGAATTTACTACTGCTTTAAAAATCTGGTCTCCCATATGTATTATTTTTTGTTTAAAATATATTTGAGAATTTAAAACATTAGCATAACAAATTCTTTTAAAATACTAGTTGTCCTCCGAAATTTGATTTTTATTTTTATTAAATTGACCTTTGTGAGCATATAGCCATTAATGTGCAATCCAACTATCAGTTTAAGCTTTTAGTTGGGATGGAACACATGCTTCAATTATCTTTAGTAGTATTAGTATTGATTTTTTTTTTTGTTTAATATATGATTATTCAATAATTTTTTAAATTTGTGATATTAACAAATTCATAAACAATTAATGGATATAAAAAAAAAATTATTAGCCCATCACAAGGTAAATCGAGAAAGGAAAAAAATAACTTTTTTCTTTAAAATATATATCATTAATTAATTACTAACTTAATAATACCATCATAAACCTAATAATTAATTACTTCCTAAATAATAATAATACAACAATAAGAGTATTTATATCATAACATTTACTACTTCTATGTTGGATTTTTTTTTACACTTTTTTTTTTGTTATACCATTAATTTTGTCATTCAAATAGCGATGAGAAATCAAATATGCCGAAATAAAGTGTTTCTCTTTTCAAAAGCATATTACAGTGTCTTATGCATCTCTTCAACCAAAAAATTATGAATACTTTATTATTTTTGAATTAATAGTTATACTTAATAGTTATTTTTACGTTTACTCCTTTAAATATAATAAAATTTTTGAATATGGTTTATCATTTTTTATTTTGACAAATTTAATCTTCAACTTTAAAAAATATTTTATTCTTCCCAAAATTATTTTATAATTAGTCTAAAAATATTTCTAACGCAATTTGTATCGCGGACTACCTGTGGACCCTGGTCAAGATTATATATCTATAATTAACATATTGTATATATCTTAGTTAAAGGATTATGTACATATAAATATATTGAAAGTACATAATATGTTAACCACAACACGTATATAATATGGTAATCGTATGTACATCATTTAAAAATTGATCCACAATGTGCATGGTCAGCAATTATACTGTGAACCGCGGTGCACAAAACTTTGTGGCGCGCGGTCTAAAAACGGCGCCGTTACAGTTAACGGAGCGCTCATGTTTGATGTATTAATTGCCAACTGTGGATCTAAACTGATACTGCCTCACGTATTATTTTATATTATCAAGTGAAACTGCAATTGAATTGAAATGAAACTGTAGTTGTGTTGAAATGATACTGTAATGTATATAAAATGAAACTGAAAACAATTTCACATTTTTTAGTGTATATTGCCCAGTGAAACTGTAGTTATATTAAAATGATAATGCAGTTGTGTTGAAATGAAACTGAAGTGTATACGAAATGAAACTGAATAACATTTCACATATTTGAGTGTATATTGATCAATGAAACTGTAGTTATATCGAAATAATCATGTAGTTGTGTTTTAATGAAACTATGGTGTATATAAAATTAAATTAAATAACATTTTCACATATTTGAGTGTTATAATATCGAATGGAACTGTAGTTATATTGAAATGAAACTGAATAACAGAGTTACTTTTTGCGGAAGAGTGCAGAACGGCGCGAAATGGGTGCCGTTTCTTTTCATTAAATAAAACGATGTCGTTTATAAGCCCGGTGTATAATCCATTATGCACCGCGGTGCACGATATAATTTGCCGTGCATGGTGGACACTAGTCCACGATATAACAATAATATTTCTACATGTAAAAATGGTAAGCTCTAGGTCAGGTTTTTCTCGAATAAGAGTCAGACTCTGATACATAGACCAAGATTCACGTAGCAAGATGGATCCCTGATACATGTTCATTTTTAATATATTGTATGCTTATTTTTATTGTACTAGATATTTATTTTGACTTGTAATACACTAAAAATGAATATCTATTAAAATGTAATGAACATATAGTGCATTAAAAATAAGTTTGTAATATATTAAAAATAAACATGTATTATGGTCTACCTTACAATGTGTACTTCACTGTTTACCTATATAATTTGCCTTGAATATCATTTGAAAAAAGAAAATCATAAAATGAAAGTAATTCAAATTCAAACATTTTATTTAAAAATTATATGGGTACATTTATTGGGAAAATAAAAAAGATTAGAATATCAACACCCACTTTTAAAGTTTTAATTTTTGAACGCCGCTACTGACCCTATTACATTGTAATGATAATGAAGCACACAGAGTCCCTCTACTGAGAGGCGATCTCATGACCTCCTACATGGAAGAGATCACTACATGCCATCTGAGCAAAAGGTGTTTGGTAGTTTTAATTGATTATGCTAATTTTGATATATTTATTTGAGTTAAATTTAGATTTAGTAATACTATTACTCATTTTCAATTTTAGTTATTAATTAATAAAATTATCAAATTTAATCTTTAGATATTAAATTATTTCTAATTGTAATATTAATATTGAGGGTAAAATTGGAAAGTTATTATCATTGTACCAATTTTTTTAAACGTTAGAAAAAAAAAACCTTAATTTTCTTTCTCTAACTGCTCTAACATTTTTGGCAAATTATGTTGTTCAACCGTGTGCACCATGCATGGTGCACACAGAATTGGATCCATAATTTTGATACTATAGATTCATAATTTTTATACTATCGATTCATAATTATTGAACTCTATATTCACAATTACAAAACTCTATGTTCATAATTTTCAATGTTCATATTCCCAATTGTTGAACTCTGTATTCACAAATCACTGAAGTATATGTTCATAATTTGATAACTATTTAGTATAGAAATTATGAATCTATAGTATAGAAATTATGAATCTATAATATAAAAATTATAGATCCAATTCCGTGCATCTTGTATAGTGCACACGGTTGCACAACATAACACTCCAACATTTTTAACAATTTACACAGGAAAAATCTTACAGTAGATTACAATTTGAAATAATCCAATAATGATTAAATTTGATAATTTTAAAAGTCAATAACTAAAATTATAAATGAGTAATAGTTAGAGGACCTAATTTGCAATTAACTATTTTATTTTTTTTTTGAAACAGAAATTAACTCCTCCTCAAAAAAAAAAAAAAAAAAAAAACTATCTTTATTTAATAATTTATTTAATTATGTATTTATTTATTCATAGTCATTATTGTTTCCCCAAATCAATCATTTCTGTGCTTAAGCAATATTTTGGCAGAGGATAGAGAGAGATATTGGACAGGAAGAGTGAAGCCAAGGTTCTTTCTCTTTCTTTCTTAGAAGAAAGTCTTTCCATTTCTTTAACTTTTCAATTTCATTGATTCAAATAACTAAACCAAAATTATCAACTTCAAAGGAGACTAATCTGGGGAAGAGTTAGAGAGAAAAGGGTCTCCTTGGCATTCCATTTGTCTCTCTTTCTCTCTCTCTCTCTCTGTTTGTTTTTTAATTTTTATTTTCAGTTACTCCTTTGCATCATCATTGTTGAATGATTGAGTCTTTTACTGGGTTTTCTTCCTTGTTTCATTCAATTTTGCTATTTTTCCTTCTTTTTGTGCGACAGAATTGTTAACTGGGTTTATAATTTTTTTTTTAAAAAAAAATCCAAAATAGATTTAGTTGCGTTGGATTGCTGATGGGTTATTTCGGATTTTGATGTTTTGCTCGTTTGTTGTTTCTTCCCAGATCTTTAATTTGTTTTGGAGATGTATATAACCAGTGCCCATGATTTCCTTTTATGAATATATTTCGCGAATCTTTGTAAAGATTTAAGCTTTAATGACTATTACTGCTTATGTTGAGGTTGAATTGTCTGAAATGCTATTGAGAAGGAAAAGCTTCCATGGAAAATTTAAACCTTTTTTTCTGATTGCCCATGATGGATTTTCCTCAAATCTGGATTTTCATAAATTAAGGTTGATTCTTATCATGAAATGCTGTTCTGAAAGAGTTTAGGTAAGGGGCTTTTTCACCAGTGCTGATTAGATGGCCTGCAGGAAAGTACATGTGTTGTGGTTAGATGAGGAAAATTGATCAATGGGACCTTTTGAAACTGTCTGGTTTTGGTGTATTTTAGGTTTATGTTTTTGACTATCTTCATTTTGTGGAGTTTCTTCACAGTTTATTATAGCCATATTTGGTAGTTTAAACTCTCAGCATGAGTTGTGGGATCTTGGAAATCTTTGATCTCTGGGGTTCAGAAATTGTTCTTGAAACATTTAACCATAAAAAGACTTAGGTTCACTGTTGTTGTGGGTATCTCATAGAATTGGAACAAATAAATTCCTCGAAATTCTAGAGGGAAATAGGACCTAATAAAGGGCTGGATTATATGAGTGTGACTGGACACAACCACTTTTATCGCATTAACTTCTAAATCTTTAATTCTTTCAGGTTTATATTTATTGGATGCAAGTCGTTTGTGTCACTGTTTATTTGTACTTGAGTTGCTGATTTCCAACACCACTTGAGATTCATGGGTGGATTTGATGACCCTGTGGCCATCATGGGAGATTGGATGCCTCCTAGTCCAAGTCCAAGGGCGTTTTTCTCATCAATCCTGGGTGACGATCTTGGGACGAGGGAGAATAAAACCGGGACCCTTGTTTCAGAGCCTGAAGGGTATGCTTCATCGAGAAATAGTGATGGGAAAGGTGGTGATCAAGCGGGTAGCATGAGTTTGCTTTCTGAGCAGAAAATAGGGTCTCGTGGTGGTGGTCTCTTAGAAAGAATGGCAGCTAGGGCGGGATTCAATGCCCCACGGCTGAACACAGAGAGCATTCGAACTGCTAATCTTTCACAGAATCAAGAAGTTCGGTCTCCTTACTTGACGATTCCTCCTGGTCTCAGTCCAACAACTCTGCTAGATTCTCCTGTTTTCCTCTCGAATTCACTGGTAATTTATAGTAGAATATCTTGTCATAATACATCTTGCTTGAGTATTTTCATTTGACTTCGATTGTTTCGAAAACGTGATATTTTTTTTGGCAGGCACAGCCGTCTCCAACAACTGGAAAATTTCCATTTCCTTCATCTGGTGATATTCAGAACTCAATGATGTTTATGGAGTCCGCTTCTCGTAAAAGCAAAGAGAGTTCTTTCGACAACAATGATTCGTCGTCCTTTGCTTTCCAGCCCGTTATTCAAACTGGCCCTTCCATCTTTCCCGGCACATTTGGCAAAGTAACCTTCTTTTTATCTTAGAAAAGTACGTAATTTCAAGCTCTATGGCATGAACTCATTAACGGCTCTTGGCTTTACAGGTACCTCCATCCAATCTAGCACGGCAATCCTTTCCCAGTATAGAGCCTACTCAAGTCTATGCACAAAATGGAACAATTCAACGGCCTGATTTCTCTAGATCTTCTACGGAGAATGATAACGGGAGTGGTAATATCACATCCGAGCCAATGGCTTTTAATACGGTTGCTGGCAGTACCGAGCATTCTCCACCTCCCGATGAGCTGCCAGATGAGGAAACTGATCAAAGAGGAAGCGGAGATCCCAACTTTCTCGGGGCCCCTGCTGATGATGGTTATAACTGGAGAAAATATGGGCAGAAACAAGTGAAAGGAAGCGAGTATCCCCGGAGTTACTACAAGTGCACACATCTAAATTGCCCGGTCAAGAAGAAAGTGGAGCGCTCTCACGAGGGTCACATTACGGAGATAATCTACAAGGGGGCCCACAATCACCCAAAACCTACGCCTAGTCGCAGATCAGCACTTGGAAACATGCAAATAGAAAATACTGAACAAGGTGGAACCGGAGGTGATGGTGATCCAATTTGGGCTAATATGCAAAAGGGATCGGGTGCTGGAGATCCCGATTGGAGGAACGACAATCTTGAGGTAACAACTTCTGCACCTTTGGGCTCAGAGTATTGCAACGGGTCTTCCTTGCAGGCCCAAAATGGCACTCAGTTTGAATCAGGGGATGCAGTGGATCGGTCTTCTACTTTTTCAAACGATGAAGATGAAGATGATCGTGGAACACACGGAAGTGTGTCACTAGGTTATGATGGTGAAGGAGACGAGTCCGAGTCCAAAAGAAGGTCTCTCTCATATTATCCATGATATTAACCTATAGACCAGGTTGAAAAAATAGCTAGGCGCCCTCTATGCGCCTGGGGACCGCCTAGGGCGCCTGGGGACCGCTTAGGGCGCCTGGTGACCGCCTAGAGCGCCTAGGTGGCCGACCGCCTAGCGCCTAGGCGCGATTTTTGCAACACTGCCTATAGATGAGGATTTTGATTTAATCCAATGTAGACCCATAATGTTTTTTATCTACCGATTTTCTAGGAAGATTGAAACTTATGCAGCAGACATGAGTGGCGCCACCAGAGCCATTCGGGAGCCCAGGGTGGTGGTGCAGACTACCAGTGAGGTTGACATACTCGATGACGGGTATCGCTGGCGTAAGTATGGACAAAAAGTCGTCAAAGGGAATCCAAATCCAAGGTCTGTAAAATTCTCTACGTTTTCCAAAATCCCAAAGTTAATTCTTGTTGCTGGAAGTGAATGAATTCTTTGCTTGTTTCCGATTTACAGAAGCTACTACAAGTGCACGAGTGCTGGCTGCACTGTCAGGAAACACGTGGAGAGGGCTTCTCACGATCTGAAATCGGTGATTACCACCTATGAAGGGAAGCACAACCATGATGTTCCTGCAGCCCGCAATAGTAGCCACGTTAATTCAGGAGTTTCCAACAGCGGGCCCACCCAAGCACCCGCGCCAACTCATACCCATTTGCATAGGCCCGAGTCTTCACAGCTTCAGAACGCCATGGCAAGGTTTGAAGGGCCTCTTTCATTTGGGCTGGCCGGTAGGCCTCCACAGCTAGGTGGTACCCCGGGTTTTGGTTTTGGGATGAACCCACAAGGCTTAACCAATCTGGCAATGGCTGGGCTTGGCCCTAACCCGGGCAAATTTCCCGTTCTTCCATATCTTGGACAACAGCGCCCGGTCAATCACATGAGCTTCATGCTGTCCAAGGGAGAGCCAAAGATGGAGCCTTTATCAGACCCCGGCTTGAACATCTCCAATGGCTCATCGGTTTATCAACAGGTCATGAGTAGGTTGCCTCTTGGACCTCATATGTAAATTTACTAACTTTTGCTCTCACAAGAGAAGAAAGTAGAAATGTTTGACTATATTCAATGGGGGCATTTCATTTGATTGCATTATATAGTTCATTCTTTGTTATACCCTTGAACAATCAGCACTATATATAATTGAAATTTGTGAGCTTTTCCTAAAGCTGTTGCTTGCTACTATTTGGTTGGCATTGAGTGCAAAAATGGAAAGTTTCAGATTCAATGAGATATTTCAATTTGATTCCATTTGGTACATATTTCTGATGATGTGCACACACACACACACAAGCATTAGGTATATGCAATATGTACTTGTTTCAGCAATGTGGTTGAGTGGAAGGGACTCTTTCATCTTTAACCAAGCCTTTTTCAAGTGGATTGAGATTTTCACTTATAATACTCGACTTTACATAATATATTTTTTAATGTTTGGATTTTATAGACATTACACTTTTTAGAGGTAGATGAAAGAGGATGGGGAATTAGGGATTTGACGTTTAACATATCTATTTAATATACTATATTGTGTAGTGATTATTACTGAGTAGTCACATGTTAAAAATGTCTACAATTGGAATAATCAGTTGAAACATTTTTGTAATTGAGAGAACTAATTGCATTTTCACGAGGGTATATATTCACCCTTGTTTTCTATAGAATATAAAAATCTGCATTATCCAATAAATGGAAGTAAAGCCTATAGGATTAATTGATGAGTTAATTCCATTTTTTATTCTAGATTTATAAGTGACAATCCACTTTTTATTTATTTATTTTTGTTAGAATATCCCTCTTTGGTCCAATATTAATGTGAGTTAACTCGCTATATTTTCTTTCTTTTTTTTTTTTTTGAAAAAATCATTACTTGAAGAGCAAAATGACATTGTATTTTAAAGGTCATTTAAACGGTTTTGTTAACAGAGTACCAAAAATGGTTCTGCCACAATAATACTATGATTAAAGTGAAATATTCTTTTTTTTTTAAGGGACTAAAAGTGGAGTGTTATCTACAACTCCATGGCAAAAATGGAATTAACTCAATAATTGATTAAAGAATAAAGAAGTTAACTAATAAAAATAAAAATACTACGATAAATTTGCATTGAGAAATGCACTTTGTTATGTCAAAAGCTAATTGTGGAGCATACATAAAATATGATACACTAAAAGTTGCACATGGTAGGACCAGTCTGACACTAAAGATCCATACTAAAAGTCCTACACAAACAGTTTTTATTTTTTTTATTTTTATGTATATAGGAAGGGGATACCCAATTACATCAAATGTCTCCATTGAGATTCAAACCTATCACCTCTCATAAAAGGAAGTGACATGGTACCATTGGACTACAGTATCGTTGGTAGACAAACAGCTTTTAATTTACACATTGAGCTGTGAACCTAAACAGAAAAAATATAGCTCAAAATGGCTTCCCAAATTCCTGAGATGGTTGTTGCCAGGACCTTAAAAAGCCTGCAGGAATTTGCAATGTTATTAGAGAAATGGCAATGAAAGAACAAACCCGAAAAATCATTTTTCATCATCTACGCATTTGAATGCACATTAGTACAAAGGAACAGACATATATTCATGTATGTTTCGATTCTGCACTCTAAAGAAATCATGAAACTATGCTACCAAAGTTATCATCAATCAAGAATTCCAATTCCATAACAACGTATCTTCTATACCTAGATGCCCGACACCTTGCTTAACCCGATCAACAAGGATTTCTCTTTATGCATGGTTCTTAAATCTTTCTTGTTTCTATACGAGACTCAAATTTTACTAAGTCAAAATTTACTTTTTAAGCACCTCACAGTCTCCTTCTGGTAGCTAGGGTAAGGCAGGTAGGTAATGTCAATATTCTATTCAAACAAAGTTGCACCTTAATAACTGAATTTAGATTTAGAAGACATAAAATACTAAACTAAGATTATAACATACTTGGTATCTCTTCCAGGGACATATATATTGAATCATCGTCACCACCAAGAATTCCCTGCAATAACCAACAAAAAGAATTTGTCACTCTCACTTATAGATAGTCTATTACGTGGACCAAAAAAATAGATAGTCTATTACATATATCACTTCAACTAAATGGTGAGAATTATCTAGGCAGGTGATACTAAGAACTAAACAAGCTATGAATCATATCCAAAGAGTAGCCAGTAGTCCATAGTACCTCTCCGTTATGAAGGCCCATATCATTATGTAGAGTATTCAAATCTCCTGGTACAGATGAGCAGTTTGGTATATCACTCCCAAGCAATTCCGAAAACATTAAACCATAACCATCCTGAACATCAGCAATATCATTTGCATCATTAGGAAAGCCATCCTGGGCAGTGAATCCAGTTTCAGAACTGCAATTCAAGGAAATACTTGTCAAGGGTCTTCGAAAATAATGCAAACCAAGACAATGATCATAGAAACTGTGTATATGTGAAAAGCCGAAAGGAATCAATTGAGGCTTCCCTTTAAGGGAAAAAATGCAGTTCAGCAAGCCAATAAGAATGACATGGAATGTAATAGAACAGACAGCTAACCTCTGTGGATTATTGAAAGTCTTGTTATCTTGATCAGAATCATTTTCCAAATCAATCACTTCTATATCTCTGCCACCGAACCCACATTGACTGTATTTGCTGGGCAAATCGTAGTTCTCGTTCATGGGCAAACCAATGTTAACTGGTGCAGTCTGTTTTCCGATGTCTGTGGTACAAGGGAACGTGAGAACAGAATCAGCATCACAATTGTGGTTCACATCACACGTATCAATGTGGTTTAGGTCACACGTCTTATATGAACTGGGAAAGAGTTGCTTTTCAGAAAACTCAATGGTTGGCACATCACTTGAAAACAGAGGGACATCCACCAATTTTTTATGATCAGGTGACAACATTGCTGGCTCTCCATTTGTAGTATTTTGGTCTTCTGAATTCTGCTGCTTTGCCATTGAAATAGAGTATACAAAGACATCCTCCGGTTCTGTTTCATCAAATAAAGCCAACTCTCTAGGTTTCTTAACTCCCACATTATTGTCAATATCCTCTAATGGTCGTTTTTTGCCTCTTTCTTCGGAGCTGCATCTCCCAAACATATTTACTCCCTCGCTTTCCTCATCCTCTTTTATTAAAGGATGATCAGCAAAAGAGGAAGGCCCGGTAGTATTTTCTTCTATGACAGCAAAAGAAACAAACGGGACTTCCTCAGTAGCTAGTGCTTTTGAATTTTCGGAATCAAGGGCTTTTGTGTCATGATTTTGATGCAATGAAATGTCATCAGAGGAAACATGCATAGACATATCTTCACCTTGTGCATCAAACTCCTTGGGAAGCTCACTCTCTTGAGTTTCCTCTTTCTCTGCCATGGTATTAGCATCAACCTTTGGACATCTATTTGCCAACGAAGAGCGTATTCTTTTAGGAACTTTCTCAAATCTGCAGAGGCTTAGTAAATCGGTGCCCTTTTTGCTTGTTAAATTATCTTTTTCAGCACACAAATTAATCTGCTTATCCTCCTTGACTGCTGTCACCTCCATTCCATCATTATCGTTACCATTCTCAACCTCCCCAACTTCTGCATTTGAGATTTCCATGTCATCAGCCTTCTCAGTTCGATCCACTTTATCTGATAATAGGAGATCCTTCTCAGTATCAATTGCACTTGTATCTTCAACCGACTGGTTTCTGTTTAAGATAGACTCTGAATCTCCAACTAATTTATGAATGCCATCCGTTTCTCGGTTTAATTCAGTGGCTGGGGAATTCTGCAATTCACTATTGCTATCTTTAATAGCTTGCTTTTCATCTTGACGCCCTGAGAAAGCATTTGTATGACCATCCATGTCTGTGGAAGCCCTGGCTCTATCAGACCAAGTCGCGCTTCTTCCAAATTCTTGGTCCCACTCAGAATCTTTATACGATCCATGTCTTCTCCTTCCTCTTGCATAACCTTTCGAGGCCATGGAGCTATAATCATTGGGGTACCGTTTCCTACCTGGCCCTTCACCATCAGCAACATTTCCCAAACGAGAAAGAGCTGATGTTCGACCCTCCATGGATAGCTGCATATTATCCCCATCTACCATCCTAAAACCGTGACTATAACCACTGTGATTCTTCAAGCTACCATTCTGCAACTTCCCCAAAAGGGCACTTCGCGGCAGCAATCCCTTGCTCACCAAGTACTCCGCTGCCATTCGACCAGCTTCCATGAAAATATCGCTTCTCTGTGGTGAAGGTTGCCGAGGCTCAAACTGCTGCCTCAGCTGGCCACGCCCATAGCCACCACGGTTATAGCTTTTGTACATCCCGCGACTACTTCTCATTGATCCCTCCGGTGAAACTCGAGAGGTTGTCCCCATACCTCCCATCCCCATTGAACTAGACCTATTATATGCATTTGCTGGACTACGATGCCTGGCATGCATATTTACAAAGCAAAAGTTCACTGATGACAATTCAAGTGTTCTTTCTTGCTTCCTTTCTTTCACAAAACCCTCACAGTCAATTTCTTCACTAAATTCTTCCCCAAAAGCAGCTTTACAACTTCTAACTTAGTGTCTCAACAAGAATTGCAAAATATTCCTACAAAAACCTTGTTCTAAGCAGTTTCAGAGGTTTTTACAAATTTCCTGTAAGGGAATCTGGGAAATATATAGAGATTCAACATCTTTCTCATGGGGTTACTGATAAACCTCAGAATTAACAGTCCAAGAAGGTCAAATCCATAAGATTTGCACAAGTCAAGAAATCAAGGTTCACAGATCTGGTGATTTTCTGTAATCAATCAAAATTTAGCAGCAGCAACAGTGGTTTTAAGTTACCTTTGACTGATTGGTTGACGGAATCCAAAACTGGGGTTCTTGCAATTAGAATTTTCAGATCCAAGTTCACATCAATTGAAACCCTTCATCCAACTTCACCATCGTCATCACACAAAGTCCGAAAGATCAATGTTTAGCAAGATCTATTAAGATGATCCGGGTCAATTTCATGCCCGGTACCCCCCCCAAAAAAATCTGTTAGGGCAAGATCAATCCGGGCAAATTTGTGTGTATGAATTCAAATCAACATGGCAGATCTACCTACGAAACTATGGATATTAGTATTTTCATTGTTCTATTTATTCATCTTTCTTTTTTTCTTTTTTCCTTTGTGATTTTGTGGAGTGAGAAAAAAGAAGAAAAATTGAGACGCAATAGCTGCTACATCCAACTTTCGGCCAGTGTGATTGGTTTCTTACGCAATAATTAATTGTTACGTGTTTTAGTTTCTTTCCTTTTCCTTTTAACCTTCTATCATTGCAAGAGCCAAGTGATAATCAAAATAAAAAATTGAGCAAATTTTTCATTCTTAACCAAAAGTTAATGGTTCTATTATTTGCTTTGTGTATGGAGAAGCTTTAAATCTCCATGTCAGTTGTCCCACCTAAAAAAAGATATCTACAATTAGAGATGTCGAAATTAGCCGGCGAAGTGGGGCCTGTCAAAACCGAGGGCGGACTAAAAACCTGCCAAAATACGGGCATAAAGGAAGTCGGCTCGCCCCGCCCCCAATGCATGTGGGTTAGGTGGGAGCGTGCTAAAAAGCTTATATCAAAATACAGGTCCAAAATATCAAAGACCACCTTGTCCTTTTTGCATGACAGGACGGGCTAATCGGCAGACTAAGCCCGCTTTGATTGTTTTAGCTACAATTCAGCGAAAAAATTAGTCACTGTGTTCGACGGTGAACACAACATCATTCACTAGGAGGGGAGGGGGGCTTGGGAATGACTATTCCCAAGGCAAAGGGAATAGTCAACTCTGTAGAATTCTCAAAATTCCGTAGAATTCTATTCATGATGATGAGTGATGTACACCCAAAAAAAAAAAAAAAAGAATAATATGACAATGTTTTTCCTGGTGTATCCAGGATTTCCAGGATTTCCACCGTCAGAGACAATGACTAAGAGGGGAGAGAGGCTTGGGAATGACTATTCTCATGGCAAAGGGAATCAATTCTGTAGCATTTCATTGTACAAAATGACATTTCATTCTCAATGTATTCCACGAACCAAACATCACCTTATTGACTGATCCCAGAAAACATCCAATAGCTACACTTACAATGATTGTTTCATAAAGAGTAGGAAAAAAATTGGAGAAAGGTGCTTACCACCTTGACCATACACAATCCACATTCACATGTTCATGTGCATAGCAGCATAGGATCAATGAATATAGATATGCTCTGCCAACTTCTAAAACCAGTCAGTGTATCATGCATGCACTTTGCTCACATCAACATGCATGTTAAATGAATTGATTCACTTCAAATGAACATGCAATTCAATTTAAAAGGGCACTGGGTTCAGTACAATATAATTAAGCAACCTTCATCTTCATTTTAATTTACATTCATGTTCAATTGTCAAACTAGATGAACATGACTTGACTATGAAGTTTGTCCACTCCAAAACTAATACTAAAGGAAAGAAAAGCCCATTTCCTATGTTCCAAACTGTGCACTAATTAAGGCCTGAGGATTTCATTTCCACCAAACCGAATATTAGGTGAAAAGGTTGCAAGGGAAAGATCTAAACTAGGCCAATTGACAAAAACAATTTCCCAAAACCGTTGTAGGAAGTAGTGATCCCATGGGAAACAATTTCCCAAATTATATCTATTGAATTTGTAAGGGCTGAGAGGACTTATACTCGAGCATCTCGGTCCTGTATCTCTCCTTATCTCTCAAGCCCTTTTCCTGATAAACCTGCAAGAGAGAGAGATAGGAATGTCTGTTGATGCAGAAGTCCAATGGTGAAATTACTAAGATTATTTGATATACAGAATGCATAAATCTTACCTGTTTCTCGGCGTCTGAGAGTCTGCTCCATAGCATTCCAATTTCCTTGCTGATAGCTCTCACGTGGCCGTGATGTGCAGGCTTCAGCCTGGCATAGTGTTCAGCGAAAAAGAAATTGTAGCCACTTAGGTTTTGCCTCGGTTTAGAGGGATCCGTTAGTGCAAGCTGGTGTTTCTTTCTATTCAGTTTAGCAGGTCCAGTTGAAGCACTAGCACTCTGAGATGAATCTAGTTGCATAGGTTTATGATAAAGAGCGCCATTGAAAATCTCGGGACCCATGTTCACAGATATTACATAACCATAATCAAACTTCGCATCAATTGTGCCAACAACTGAATCGCCCACTTCGATACTAGGAGCCCCTGCATATAACATCGTAAACTAGGCATATGAAATTTGAATATTACTCTTCAACGATTTTCTTTTGTGTATCGGTAGATGTTAAATTTACATACTTGGGTGAAGCATAATATAAGAACTCTACAGCCAAAATTCAAGGCTAAAATCTTACGAGTGCCTTAACCAGCTTGGTTGGCGTGAGTGGCCATGCACTCTTGTCCCTTAGAGAGGAACCCCCTCTCGTATGGAAAAACCAATCTGGTCAGCACTTTGTCCCTTAATTGGGCCGGCCCGGTGCGAACGGGGATTAGTCTGAATATAGTATGGGCTTAAAGGTGCCTCCTACAGTTAGGGCCTGCTCAGGACACCTCGAGGTCTGACACAAAAAAAAAAAAAAAAAAAAAAAAAAAAAAAAAAATGACAGTGCATAAGTGCATTAGAAGCAGACCTGACAGTGGATTTACGGTGGCATCGCCATCAATAGGATGTCCGGTTTCTAAGACACTGAAAGTTTTGTCAGTAGGATCTGCGCAACAGGGGGAAAAAGTTGAATTTTTACCTTAAAGAGGAAAAACAAGTAACACAAAATAGCGTTCTATAATTTTTTTCAATGTTTTAAGGTACCGGGGACAGATGAAGGCTCTTCCTTGCGGAAGTAATAGACCTGCTCAAAGTGATAGAGCATGGAGAGGTAGTACTTTCTTAAGATGAATGATGCACTTGTTACATAGGATGGAAAAGTGAATGCCCCAATCACATCTTCCCATCTTCGATCTCTAATAACCTGCACATTCACGAGCTATGATCCATAAAACTGTATAACAATATATCATAATCAAACTAAATTCAAGTTTCCATTATTCTCAAGAGTCAAGATAATGTCTAGTTCCACTTAACAGGGTTCAATGAACCTTAAGAAAAATCTCAAATCGAAGAAAGCCATACCTTTTCTATTCCACCTCGCGAAGTAACCTCCACAAAAAGACGATGTAGATCTAGAGGCTTTCCTGCTACAGTAGGAACCCTGCAGAAAATGAGACATCAAAAGTGGAATGATCACATTACCATTCTTTTAATAATTTAGCATTTTTTCGAAAATTCTCTTCTATAATCTTCATAAGTTGGTAGCAAAAGTAGTAGTTCAAACTTCAAAGCATAGATGAATAACTTCAAACCAAGCTCCAAGTTAATAGTCCATTATTTACTAATCCATAATACACTCTTTGTGTCTTCAATTACCCATACACGCAAAGATTGCTACTTTCTTCAAGAAATTGCAGTCAAATACTGTAACTTTATCATTGATCTACACAATATTCAACCACAACAAGAAAGGTAAATTACATCAAGAGCACAAGAATGTTCATTACTTTCAAAGTAAACTGCGATAATTTAAATGTCCACTGTCTTTGAAGCAAATATCTATTACATTTGTGAATAATGCTCATCAAAACTCACATATATGTGAGATGTGGTTCCTAGAACCCTAGGACACCAATTGACCAAAAAAAAGATTCTTTGGGCCCATCAAGCATCCTCACACCAAGATAATACTCCAAACGTTTTCAAGCATAATGGAAGTCCACAGTTTGTTTGAGCATAAATACTCACCAGATAAATTATACATAAATAATCAATACTACAAAATCAAATCCACAAACACAACAAACTAATAGGAATCGAAGAAGGGCACACTAGGAATGGGGAAAACAACCTCCATTAGCCAAGAACTTCTAGAGCAAGAAAACCTCAAACCAACAGAAGAAACAGCAAAAAAAAAAAAAAAAAAAAAGGAAGAAAAAGAGGACTAACAAGTATTTGGCAGCCAAAGAAACATGGAAAGCTTGAAGCATTTGCCAGAAAAGCTGTGGGTCTCGAACAATTTCCTGAAACTCAGCTTGGGGCTTAGGGTAAGAGAGCGGGCGCTTGGATTGACCCGAAGAGGGAGCAGTGAGAGGCGTTCCCGTGGGTGAAGGGTTAGATGACATTTTTGTTGCCGATAATTATACTCCCTAATTGTTTGCAGTATGAACTCGTAAACCTCCCATTCCCTCTGCTCCTACGGCACAGCGATGAAGTATCAAATTTTTTCTTAGTAATCAATGTCTGCCCACAAATTATGCTATCATTCTGGCGACAATTCTAGTTTTATTATTATTTAGTAATTTAGTAATATTTAGACCTACCCATCAAGAAAAAATATATATTCGGTGTAATATTTTACAATTATTTTTTTTTCAATTTTATTTCGATGGTTAGTATAATTCTAAGTGATGTAGTACAATGGAATTTTGATTACTATTTTAAATGGATTGTCATAGATTTGAACCCTAATAGTGGAGTTTAGATTCTTT